CCCCCCCCCCCCCCCATTTACTGTCCTTCCTGTTAAGTATGTTTACCCTCTGGCACATAGAATATATTGGTCCTGGCAAACTTTGTTGTCAAGTGAAGAAAAATCTGTATTCCATACTCCCTTTTCCCATTGATTCCTATGATAAAACAGGAGATGTGTTTTAGACGAGCAAGATCAAGTTTGAGTAGTTAGTGGGCTCAAAAGAGAATGAATGTCAACGTCCCTGTGCTCACTGCCCTAGTTGGGTGGGATGTCAGGTTCCCTTTCATTACTTCTCTCAACTGGCTGAATCACTTTGTAAATGTCGTAGAACCCATGGAACAGGGCAAAGGGGTTCCCTGACCCTAAATGTTATCCATTTAGGACAACATTCGTTCATTTTCAGGAAACCACACCAGCCGTCTGTCAGTTGTCACACTGTGGCAACTGTGTGTTGCTGTGATGCTGAAAGCTGTGCCATCAGGATTTCAAATACTGGCAGAGTGACCCATGGTGGACAGGTTTCAGCAGAGCTTCCAGACTAAGACAGACTAGCGAGAAGGACCTGGCCACCCACTTCTGAAAAAACTGGCCATTAAAACCCTGTGAAGAACAGTGGAGCACTGATGTAGCACCGGAAGGTGAAAGGATGGTGCAAAAAGACCAGGCAGGGTTCCCCTCTGCTGTCCACAGTGGGCGCTAGGAGTCAGAATCAACTTGATGGCACTAACAGCAGCCTGCCCAACATGCTACCTCTGGAAACCTGTCTGAGGCACACATTTCAGCATGGCACTTGCCTTCTTAAAAGCCTCAGAAAGTTTTTCATGGCACCAGAATAAAACCAGACTCCCTAAGAGGAACCTCTTTCATGATATGGCCCCTGCCATCTCCAGCCTCATCTCCAGCGCCAGTCACATCCCCCCCCCCCGGCTCCAGGTGTCCAGCTCTGGGCACACTGGACTGTTTACCGTGCTTTGTGGGCAGAAGCCTGTTTCCGGGTCTCCTGGCCTTACTTCTCCAAGCACTGTGTTGAGCTTGCTCCAGGCAGCACTCCCCTCTCTCCCGTCCCCCTCTGCCCTGCCTGGGTGAGGTGCCCTCTCTGCCCTTAAGGTGCTTTGGCCTTAGGAGGAGTGCCGGCAGGGCACGCCTCTTGACGCTTTGTGGCTGACTGAGGGACTTGTCTCTCACATGAGACCCTAAGCTCCTTGCAGAGCTGCTTGTTCATCTTCTTCCCAGGTCCCAGCATAATGTGTGGCACATAATATACATGCAGCCACTTTTTGATTTTCTGCTGAGCAAATGAAGATATAAATTAATAGTGATAATCATAAAAGTTGCTAACACCCAAAGTAACAATAGCTGCTAACATCCAAAGCACTTAGCGCGTGCCAGGTGGTGTTCTAGGCACATTACCCATGCTTGACTGTTTGATCCTCAGCCACTGCCTGGGCTGTTTCTCTCCTCAGCCTATGTGGAGTGGCGGTGCTGTTTGGGTGGTAGTGCCCACAGTGGATGGAGCTGCTACCCAGCATGTCCACAACGTGGGGACAATGGGTTTGTCTGAGGAGGAGGGAGCAAAGGCAGGTTCTGTCCCCTGTCGCTCGGCTGGGTGCATTTGTTTCCGTTCCTTCTGCTGCCGTGGATTATCTTCAAAGCAGGTTATTGGAACCAAGTAAATTGGCTGTCGGCTGTGCATCCTGGAGCTTAAGGCCCCCTTTGGAGGACCTGGAATTAAACCTGGGAAGCTCCTGGGAGCAGAGCCACTTGGGGCGGAGCTGTACTGGGTGAACCACTTTGTAAGTAGGTCACAGGAAGAAAGTGAAGCCCCAAAGGCTCCCTCCCACAGTGTGTCAGAAGGAAAGGTGGTGCAGTGCCCCGTGAGCCCCTGAGCCACGCGGGGCGGGGTGAGAGGGCACCAGCTGCAAGCTTCCAGAGGGTGTGCTGTGAGCTTTGTCCTGGATGGCAGAGCCAGGGCCTCATGGTTTTATTCCCTCCCTCCTGGCTGGTATGCAGGGCAGACGATCACCCAGATCCTGCCCAGACTGGCATAATCATTTCACTACAGCAACTGTCTGCTTAGTGTTAATGTGGACTGAACCCCTGCTAAGCACTTTTTGTATGATCTCACTTAATCCTGCAGCACCCCTCTGAGGTGGGGTTATTTAGCATCTTAGTGGTTTTTGGGTTTTTTTGGTATTTAATTTGGTTTCTATGATAGGTGTTACTGGAGCGTTGGGGAGGACAAAAAACAGGAGTTACCGGTTGAGGTATAGTTGTCTTTCCTGCATTGGTGTGGGGTCCCTCGCCCCCGCCCAGGAACAAGAAAGGATGGTTGATTAGTGTTGCTTAAATGCATTGCAATTAATTCCTCTCCAGTTTCCTTGCACTCTAGGGCTTGGGCTCGCCTATAAATCTTAGTCCCAGGTTGGTGGTAAAATCTTGATTTATCTCTCAGGATAGGTGTGCTAACACATTAGTTGGTTTGAATTATTTAAAGTTATCATGAAAAAGGTCTTATTTCTATTGCCTGCCCTGATTTGCACTTTAAATATAGTTCCCTGTAGCAATTCACAGGAGTTCATGTTGAAAATAGAAAAGGGAAAATTACTTTTAAACAGCAGTTTGACATATAAGAGCATGATTTACCTTGGAATATTTCTCCAACTGCACATTAAGGCTAAGCTTTCAAGAATATTTTTTTCCGCACTGAATCTGGAAATTAGTATGAAGCGAAACAGCAAACACTGAGCCCCGGGTGGCGGCTCCCTTTGGTGGGGTGGGGCTGCTTCCCCTGCCCCAGCCCAGGCCGGTGGTGTAAACTTCTACCGCGTGCTCTTGTGAGTGTTGTGGAAAGTGACAAAGGTGACAGGTAATTTCTTACCTCCCTTGCTAATTTTTCTCACTTTCCTTTCTATTTGCACCGTTTCTCCTTCATTTCCTTGAACTGTAAAACCTGGGATTTCATTGGTAGGGGTTCTGTAAATGATTCATTATTTTAAGGTTGAATTTGTTAGTGGTATAGTATATTCTCTGCCTTCGAAATGCATCGGGTTCCTTTGTGATTTCTTTTATTTAGATTATGGAAATATAAAGATGAAACCAACTAGTATATATTTTTTAATATTCATCTAATGGGGATTATCTTGCCATGTGATTTTGCTCTTATGCCTGAAAGTAACTGATGCATTTTTTATGTTATTGCTTTAAATATTATATAATTTATTTCTATCATGGGAAAAAGGAGTTCTTCATTTCCCAGCAGAACGATGGAGAAATGACAACTTTTTTTCTTTTAAAGGATATTTTAACACTAGGCCTGTGTGTTTTTGGAGGGAGCTAACATCTAGTTTGCCCTTACCTTGGTTAAGCCTTGTTTGAATAAAGGTGTCTTGACTATGACCAGCAGGGTTTGTGGAATTCACTTGATTTATTGGGAACATCTTCCTTCTAGGTAATTCCTGCTTTAAACAGTAACACTGTCAAATAATATTAGCTGCTTATTTATGAAAGGTGATACATTAGTAATTTTCAGAACTGATACCAAATAAACACACTTTTTCTTCAGTGTAGAATCTAAATTCTGAAGGGCCAGGGGGCTTTTGTGCTGACATTCTCTTCTTTTTCACACAGCCATCTGGTCTTGCAAAAAAGTGAGCTAAGACTAAACTCTGGGTATTAGATGATGAGTCACTGAAGGTAGGAAATTGAGGTTCTTTTTCTTGATAGAAGAGGAAGTTCTAACCCACAGAGCTTTGCTTGTCTATGTTTAGAATTAGGAATTGATGGAGTTGGCGGAGATGAATTTTGGAATCAAAATTGTGTTAGATTGACCACAGTTTTTATATCTCGCAAATTGTCAGCATGTTCTATTTTCTGGAATTCTGTGATGTTAACGTGTTTTGACTTCCCTGTGTGATGTTTATTAATAATTCTATTTTTGATATCTTCTTGAGGGATTTAAGTGTGCATACTAGCCTGGAGGTAAATAAAGTAAAACAAAACGGAAAAGTTAAGTACAGTCACGTGTTGCTTAACAATGCAGATACGTTCTGAGAAATGTGCCCTTAGGGTATTTCACTGTTCTGATGTGCGAACATCATAGAGTGTACTTACACGAACCTAGATGGTACAGGCCACCCCACACCTAGGCTCAATGGGACTAATCCATGGGACTGCTGTCATATATGCATCTGTCCTTGACCAAAATGTCGTTGTGCGGCGCAGGAATGCACCCAGAAGCAGAATTTAAATGGTGTTTGTGTTTAGATCTTTTCTTTCTTCTTAGAACTTAATGAATGATTTGGACATTGCATTTGCTTTGTTATGTGTGTGTGTGTGTGTGTGTGTAAAAAAGTGAGAAAGTAGATCAGATCTTAGTGAAAATAAACTTGCAGCGGGGGGTAGAGGGGGCACTAAATGCCTGTATTCTACTGGATTGATGCTGCCTAGAGTAAGGAGTAGACAGCCGTTAAGGATGTGATCCCAGAGGCATTGTGAGGACTTATGTTCGTTCATTCATTGATTCATTTATTTGGTAAATATTTGTTGATGTTCTTCTGTGTGCTCGCTGTGTTCTAGGTTCAGGGGTAAACTGTAAATAAAACGACATTCCTGCCTTCATGGGGCTTATGGTAAACTAATGTATAAGACAAGCAATGAACAAATACTTATATATTATGTCAGCGGTGGTAAGTGCTCTGGAGGAAAATAAAGCAGAGTTGGGGGTGGGGAGGGCGTGCAGAGGGGATTTACTATTTATGCGAGGTGGTCTCAGGGAGGCCTCATGGAAGACCTCTCGTTATCTGAATTCCACACAGGGAGGTTCATTTGGCTTGCATTTCATTTTCACCCTGCTTTCTGAAATGTCATTCTGAAATGGAAATGATTAAACCGTGTTAGTCTTTTGCTGCTTAGTGTGAATAGATTATTTCCTCTGAGCAAATGCTAATGGAGAGAGAATTTGAGGCAATGGATGTCTTGGCATCAGAGGCATCCGAATGGCTGTCCCCTGCTTCTGAGTAGGGTCTCCTCTGTTACCCAGGGGGCCCTCCCCCCAATGCCCTTTGTGCTACGTCACTGCTCCATGGGATGGCCTGTGCAACCCTTTCAGTACATTGTTGCCCTGTGGCATTTCCCATTTTCTCCTGGGAATGCTAATTAGAGAAAGCAAACTGTGAAATGCTTTCCTTTTAGTCTTCAGGAGAATTGCACTGTAAAATTAAGTATTATTTTTTGTCTGGTTAACCTTCCTGACTGGTTTATCATTTTGCTTTGTATTTCCAAAGGGTTACTGTCATGTTGTTGTTATTGTTATTATTATTATTAATGTAGAAGCTTGATGTGTCTCTAAGGGATATCTTTGTCTGTTTATGGGCTCCCACTCAAAACATTAAATCATTCTGGATGGGGAATGATTTTAATTCCTCTCCCTCTGCTGGCTCCCTGGCTTTCGCAGGATTCTGTTAACTCTCCCTTGTGTGCCGGTAGCCATATCTGCATCCCGTTTCCAACCTCGCAACTCCTGAGACCGAAGCTTGCTCCAGATTTAGCTCTGTTGCCCTCCAGGCTCTGGCAGTGATTGCGAGAGTGGGAATTTGTACTTCTCCCCTCTGGATTCTCAGGAATTCCCCTTTGCTGGAGAAGGCGCCCAAATTGAGGTTTCTAAGAAGTTGTATTCTGTGTGCATCTGTTTTGTGGTTTATATCTATAGACACGAACGATACACACAGATTCTGATTTCTTTGATGTAGATTCTCATTTCTTTAGCTTGGTAGCCTAAGCATGTCGGTTTAGCGCTGATGAATAATTTTAGGTCCGGAGATGAAGGCGGCCAGCAGTACTAGTTTGCAGCAATGTAGCTGTTTTGAAAAATGAGGAAAATATGTCTTGTTGAAGTATCAAGCAACAGTATTTAAACAAAACTGTTGAATGTGAGAATGAATCTTAATTGCTAATTTTAATGTAAAAATGTTTCCTTTTTTTCCAGCCTTTGCTTTGGCTCCTGAAGATATAAAGAAAGAGATCAAGCAGTCTAAGGTACTAATTCTAATGATCAAGTCTATTCTTCCTGTCTCAGATTCGTTTTTATTTTCTTTAATGGGGGCTGTAATATTTCATCTTTCACTAGTTGTCAAATTTCTTTTTTTTTAATGAATTAGTGAAATGTTGGTCAACATAGATTTTGCATCCCTGGCACAACCTACGGATAGGCTTGCTTTAGAAAATAGCCTTTAGTACTTAAAGCACATCTACTAGGTTTCACATTTCATTTTGAGAGAAAAGGTGTTTAGTACAGAGTTAGACATTTTCAAAGTCTTGCTTGGAGACAGTGATTTTTTCCACTCCTGACACATCTTGGCCTTGGGCTCAGTTTTCTCAGCCTGTGAAAGAAGGGTTATGCTGTGTCTCCAGGGTTGCAAGAGCCTGGATATCCCTCCATTTGAAGGTTGGCACCGTGTGAGAGGGCGTGTTAGGGACTGGCCAAGAGCCCCAAAGGTGACTGCCAGGCTCCTTGCATGGTCAGAATGAGAAACCGAGACCTGGGTTTCTCTCGATGGAGAGCGGACAGCACTCACTCAAACCTGAGAGCTGCCTCTTTTTCGTCATTGGTTGCATTAAAGAACCTCATCTAAATTTTACCTTTTGAGCTTTGCACTAGATCAGTTTAACATCTGAGAACAATATTTTAAAAATGTGAGATATTTTCGTCTTTAATTAAGGCTTAGTTAATGCTACTTTTTACCCCACAATTAGCATAAAAGCATTTTTTAATAGAATGGTTCTTTTACTGACAGAGTATTATCTGTTCTAACTATACTATGGGATTTCTACACAGGGGAAATGATCATAATAATTTCTTATGGTTTAAGATCCTTTATGGTTAATAAAGCATTTTCAGACATTCTATTTATTCTTCTCAGTGATCCTATTATTGCTAAGCAAATATTCCCATGGATAGCAGAGAAAGTTTACCCTCAGAGAAGTTAAGCGATTTGCTGAGGTCATGTGACTATTAAAAGGTGAAGTCAGAATCTAAATTTTCTGAATCCTTGAATTTTTCACCCTGTAATTTTGTATTACACAGCTGCGTGCATCATAATGTGTGTGCGTGTTTAGCAATAACAAGGCTTATTTATAATGAATTTAAAGTGCTACCTAAGGGTTATTAACAGGGAATTGAAATTTTGTGGAATGAATTTAGAAATTATAGCACATATTTTCAACTATGGGTTTTAACTAATCTTTTCAAGTGAGGAACTGTATGTATCACCTTTAAATACGTACATAAGTAGGAGTATAAATAGAGATAAGAGTCCTATATCTTAGTGTCATTTTTCATGCAAAGATATTAAAGCCTTTGAAAAATGTCATTAACTCAGTCTGTGCTTAGGCCAGAGGGCCAAAAAGCTCTTAATCCCACCAGGAGAAGCAGTGATAAAATACCTACTGTTGACCATACCTGCGACTGGGAGATAGAGAGGAATCCATTTGTCCAAGGTTACCCGAAGTCTGTAGATGAACCCGGAGGTAGGAGTTTGGGCTTTTAATGAAACCACATTAATTGAGGATTATCATTTTATCGCTCTCGGCAGAGTTGATCAGGATCTGCCCCGTTCCTTGTCTACTGCTTAGAAGCAGCTGCCTCCCGCCCACCTCACCTCTCTGCTTGCCTTAGTCAGGGGCCCAGGCAGGGCTCTCTTTAGAAGATAGGCCAGCTCTGTTCAGGCCTGGGGTCCTTGCTCAAACAATGTTTGATTCACTGGTTGGCATCAGATTTGGCTTCACATTACAATCCTGAGCGCTGCCAGTGCCCGTTGTACTGCCTGTGGCCAGACCTCTGGGCCCAGGCTCCTCTCCTGGACTCCTGGTCCCTGCACTGTCCTGGATTCTGACCTGCCGCAGCTTTTGGGGGGGGCCTGTCACCCAGGCTCGTGCTCCAGCCGTGGATGTTGCCTCAGCCATGGCCGTGTGCCTGTCTTCACACAGCAGTTTTGCCCGGCCTTACATCTTGTGGGGGCTGTGGTACTATGTCCTGGACACTAGGGCCAAACTGCCGAGGTTCACATCCTTGCTCCACCACTGTCTGCTGTCGACTTACTGACCCTTGCTGTGCCCCAGCTTCCTCATCTGTAAGATGGGGTAATAGGACCTATTTCAGAAAGCTGTTTTGAAGAATAAATGTGTGTGTGCTTGTCCCCACCACTTACAACAGTGCCAGGCCCTATTTAAATGTTTCCCTGGTATGGCAGCAGGGACTGTCTTATGCAGCCTTCGAGAGGAACCCAAACAAATCAAAGTACAAAGAGGAACCATAGCCCTTAACTGTTTTTCTTGGTTTTGGTGGCCGTTGAAGCAGACGGTGGTGATAACCAGAGTAGGAGCTAACAATTACGGAGCATTTCCTGTGGGCAGACACTATGCTCAGCATTCTAATTAAACTCTCACAACAACGCTGTGCAGGAGGTCTTGTAATTATTATTCCTAATTTACAGATGAAAAACTGAGGCCTGAGCTGGTCAGTGGTGGGGGCAGAATTAGAAGACGGGAGCGGCTTAGACTCGAGTGCGCTGAGGAGCACGTCCTGATTGTGTCATTTTATTCAAAATCTGGTGGGTGGCGGTGGTCATTTGTGACTGGGTCGGAGATGCCCTTTTGCTTCTCCTCCTTCTTAAAGATTTCCTATTAAATTCTTTTGTGGATGTTTTATCTTCTTGTCATGAAGAATTTATAAACGAAGCATTGCATATGTGGAGTGCAAGTACTCAGATCTGTCGTGCCTTAAACAGTAACACTATGCAGAGGGTGCCTTGGGTTGGTCTTTTCCTGGCTGGAGTAGGAGCTGCCTGTGGGGTAGGTGTTTTAGAGACAAATCTCTTTCCTGTCTGAATAGCAATCCAGTTGACTATAAAACTTCGACAGTGAGCACGTTTTGATTGATCTTGATAGTTGGTGTAAGAAACGTGTGGCAGCAGAGATAATAAAACAAACCATGTGTTTCTTTCTTCTTAGGAAGAACTAAGCCTTTTCACAAGGGAAGCTGGAGACAGAATTTTAAATGTTCTGTCAATTCTGTTCATTTAGTCTAATTTTCTTTCTCAAAGGGGAAATTACTCAAGACCATTTTGGTTCCGTTGCAGTTTACGTAATTCAACCGTTCCTTGGATACTTTATTTTTACAGTTGACAAATTGAGCCATTTGAAATGGCTGATCATTTCCTAGCAATTGTGTCAGCCAGTTGGAGCTGCAGTGCTTAATAACAAATAGAAAGATGTATAATTTTGGTTGATTTAAAATTTCCACCGGTTATCTGGTGGAAAGTTCCATTGGTGTTACAGCTTGTTTAAGTTATTCAGTCTGGAAACACCGAGTTCAGGATATTTTTTATCTTTTAGGTTATTGATAAAGGTGACTTTTGTTATAAGTATTACTTTTAGCTTCCTCTCAAAATATGTTTCCATCTAATGATGCCCATTTTCTGAAGGATGCCTCTGGAGGAAGACTGGGCATGCATTGTCATGGGGGTGTAAGAAAGGAACATTGGAAAGGAGTCAAAAGGCCTGGATTTTAATCCTGGTTCTGTGGCTGGAATGACTTGGATATTGGGCAAATCCTTAATCTTTCTCTGAGTCTCTACTGTCTCATTTGTAAAAGGGGAGTGTTGGATTGGATCATCTCTAATGGTATTTGTTTTTAAATTGTGGTAAAATACACAAGATAGAATTTACCATCTTAACCATTTTTAAGTGTACGGTTCAGTGGTCAGTGTTAAGTGTATTCGTTTTGCTATGCAAGCAATCTCCAGAACATTTTTCATCTTGCAAAATGAAAACTCTGTCCTGATTAAACAACAACTCCCCGTTCTCCCCTCCTGCAGCCCCTTCTACTTTCTGTTTCTATGAACTGGACTGCTCTAGGGACCTCTTATAAGTGGAATCCTACAGTGTTCGTTCTGTGACTGGCTTATTTCACTTAATATGATCCCTGAAGTTTCATCTGTGTTGTAGCATGTGTCGGAATTTCCTTCTTTTTTAAAGCTCAGTAATATTTCATTGTGTGTGTATGCCACATTTTGTTTACCCATTCCAATGCTATTTTTAGATGTAAAATTTCTAATTTTCCATGATCTTCATTTGGCAGCTGAAGCTGTGGGCTGGAAAGGAGAAGGCAGCATGGCCAAGGAGCGGGCTTCAGGTTCATGGTGGAAGCTGGGTGGGCTCCCTGGATCTGAGGCCAGCACTCCTTCTGCAAGAGCAGGCTGTTCTCTTGGCCAGGAGTGGCATTTAGAGTATGGCAGATGCCGTGACTTGTGACAATAACCTGGCTTTGGCTCAGCACATTTAGAGTCCTGGCTTGAGCTTTCCAGTCTTTTTTAGTGGGCTTTTCCAAAAAGTACATGTTTTATCAGGATTAAGTAAAGTGTCACTTGATCCTGAGGTGTAACAAATCAGTACATAACTGGAGTTCCTCTCGACTCAGTGGTATTTTTGTTCTTGAGACAAAGATAATTTCAGAAAATGCTACCAAAGGTGGACACTCCCTAGTGTGTTGCTCTCTCTCCTCCCTGTCTGTTGTCACAGTCCCTTTGGCATTCTAAGAGGACACTTCTCTGTGTGGTTGTATCTTGGCTTTTAAGCTGTCCCTGGTTTTGTTGGTAAAGACTCACAACTGCATTTCTTCATGCAGTCTGTGAAGTAAATTGAAGGATATTCGCCACTGTCCAATTGTCATAATTATAGCATATGGTGGTTGAAAGCGGAAAAGGGCAATTAGAGAGAAAATTCCCTCCTTGTCTGCTGAAGAAGACAGTGAAATGGCAGGTTTAGCTGCTGATACTGTGCACTTTGTCAGAGAAATTTTTTAAGAGCTCCTCCCCTGATTTACTGAGGATCAGGATCAGGTATTTCTGTGCCCACACCCAGATCTCAGTGTCTGGAGCTCTGTGGCTCTAGGACGCCCCTTCTGTGTTCATGAATTCTCGTGAACCACGGGCTGGCCAGCTTGGGGCCCTGTCTAGGCCCCCAGCGCTGCTTCTCAGGTAGGAGAGAACACTGTGGTAACATTCCTGTTGACAGTATGTCTGAGCCCACAAGATGATGAGTACAATCATTAGTGGAGCTTATCTTCAAGAGGAACACACTACCAGAATTGATACTGTCTGTGATGCTTTAGAGTTTAAGAAGTTTTTAAATATCCCTCCTAGGAACATTGCGAACCAGTTAAGCATTAGCTTCATTTTATACAGGAGGAAAGAGCCTCAGCTCAATTATGTGACTTGCCCAAGATCATGGAAGAAAGGGACAGCCCCGTAGGAACCTTCTGTCATGACATAGAAATACATCGTGGCTGCCTTTTTCCCCTTAAGTTTTGGTCTCTCTCTTTAGGGAAGCATTTCCAAGCTCTCATCTTCAGTGTCTCACTTCAATATGAAGTGTTACTGTGTACCAGACATATTTTTTGGTGTTTTGCTAGCTTTGTTATGGTGATGAGATTTATTTTTTTCTCTTTTATTTAAAATACAGAATTTGAAGAAAAGTGATATATCAAGGAAAAATGACATAGGTAAGTAATGATTTTTTTTTTAACTTAAGAGTATGTACCCAGGTGTATTTCTTGTAAATTATATTTCAGTGAAGTGAGTTTTTCTTTCTGATTTTATTTGTGGGGTAAATATTGTTGTCCAAATACTCTGTCTTTGGCCCAGCCCAGTGTTTACCCTCGTGAAGACACAGGGAGAACACTTTTCGGATTGACATATTGGCATGTGACTGGAAGTAACAGCTAATATGTTGGATTTAATTCCCTTGGCTATAATTCCCTTGGCTATAATCTATTGAGTTACCAATAAGGACAGATTACTGTGCCAGCTGGGCACTGTTGGCGCTATAGAAATGAGTAAGACGTGGTCTCTGTTATTAGGGGCCCACGCTTAGTGGGGAAAAAAGGATGTTTGCTCATGCCGTCCTCTGTCTGGAGCCAGGTTCCCCAGTCTCTGACCTGCAGACACCACTTTCCCTTCTGGTCAGCTTGTCAACCATATCTGCTGTCAAACTTAACCTGGGAACCCTGGTGTGGAAGTGGCTATTCTCTTCTTGCAGACACACCATACTTCTGTCACAGCCCATATGTGTCCTTATTTGCACACCCTTTTAAACACGTCTTTCTCCCTCCAGTATAGTACTGTGAGCATCTTCAGGGACGTGACCGTGAGTTAGTCATTTTTGTATTCTGTGGGACATATGCCACCCTGTGTTGATAGGAGGGTAGAGCCACAGCTCTGTGTGTGGGGTCTCTTTCCAAAGGGTGTGAACTTGTCAGTGTCTGTCGTCCCAGGTAGGCACCCTGGACAGGAGGGGAAAGGCACACTTTCCTTTCTAGGCCTTCCTTTCCTGGGCCTGGATTCTGAGGAGCCTAGAAGGCACAAGAGGCCCTGCTGGATAGTAGGGGGAGGATGACCTGTGCTGGGGCCCGGGCATGCAGGCGACTGTAGGCACATGGGTTGGAGTCTTCAGGCTCTGAGAGCAGCTGTATTTAAGGAGCCACACTGGTTCACTGCTTTTTCTTCTCTCTATTGCAACATCCTGTCTGTCTCAGCCACTCCTCCTCATGCGAAGATTTTTTCTCTGCTGCCAACCCTTGTGGGTTTGGGCATTTGTTTGTGTGTTTATTTTATGGGAGCTGATAGGTCTCCTCGTAATAAATGGTTATTAAATGAACTAATGACCCTAGTGTGGAACACGGGCTTAAAAGTGCCAAGGGGAAGTTTACCTGGACAAGTAAATCTACACTCTTGCAATTGCAAATGGGCAATCTAGTGATGCTTAACTTGGTATCAGTTCATCTGAAAAAGACCCAGGGAGCTTATTTGCCACGATCTTAATGTAAGTCTACAGGACTAGGGGTCTGTAGAGCAGCTGCCCCAGTCGGATCTGCCTAGATCATGGTCTCACAATACTCAGGGCTGGGTGACAGCCTCCGAGAGCAGGGCATCCTCTATTTGTTTCTCTTTGACTCACTGCCTAATCAGCGGATTCACCAGTGACAATTATTCTCATCAAGTGAAACTCAATTGGAGTGACTCTTCATGTATATGTGTAAGTGTGCGTATTTACTTACCCCTCAGCCTAAGTCATGAGCCTGCCTGGTACTCAGCTCTTATCAGAAGAACCACGTTGATTTCTCATCAGAAAAACACTGGCATGGTGGAATCCATGTTTCCGGATAATCTCTGACCAGGAAAGATTAGCGCTTAGTGGAGTGTGTGGTGCATGATGCATGCTCAGTGACTGAGGGAATAGAGAACTTTTGATTTCCTTTACCTTCAAAGAAGAATTATTCCTCCTTCCAGAATCCTTTTCTAACCATCTCTGGTTCGACTGCCTTTCTTTACCGTTGGCTTCAGAACCGCATCGGTGCTCCCAGTATCCCTGACTAATTTCTTTATCTTCCCTTTCTCGCCTGTCACACTCATCATTATTGTCAGGCACTTGGTGTACGACCCATTTATCACACATTCCTGGCGGAGAAACAATGACAATCTGTCTTGAGTTGTGACAGTGTTTGCTGAAGGCAAATTGCCGTGAGTTTAGAGAAGTGCAACCTGAGTGATAAGGAAATAGTGGAGTCGTCTTATTTAGCGCCATTGACAGGGCAGTAGGAGCTTAAGAGTCAGATGTTGGATGGCATAGACAGAAACAGTCACCACGGTGAGCCCTGGGGTCTAGACTTAGCTAGAATTGATTGAGTTAGGGAGGGCTTAGGATGTATGTCAGGAAATACCTCTTGGTGCTGATATAAAGAACAGCAGGAATTTAAGCAAATAAACTGTTTTCAGCACCAAACTGTACTAGCCTGGTTCTTTTCTGGAGTGGGGGTGGGGCTGCATGGCGCGTAAATGATTTTCTGTTATTATTATCAGGGTTATAGGAACTGGATGCATCCTTTGTCTTTTGCCTCATCACCAGTGACTCCCCCATATGCATCTTATTCCTTAGCCGTACCTAACTCTTCCTATTTTCGGGGCTCTGAATTCTACTTGCTGTCCCAAACCTTCACTGCTCCCTCTGTTGGGAAGGTCTTCCCACTCTTTTTCTGGGCGTCCCTGGGAAACAGTATCCTTATCGCTTCCTCTGGGAAGGCCCCACTTTCTGGGACCCCAGATGGCTCTGAGGCCCTTTCCCTGTTTGAAAGCCCTTCTGTGGCATATAAATCCTTCATGATCTGATCTGGCCCACCCCTCCTTCCTCTGTAGCTTTATCGCTGACTGTTCCCTTCATCCTTTTCTCAGAAATGCCTGACAAACTCCCTGGTCACCTGCTCAGGGATGCTGCAGAGATAAGGCGGGTTGTGGGCTCTGTGATAACCCACTTCTTTCTCTGCCGCTGATCTGCTACCCTCGATGCCTGAGTCTGCAGAAAACTGCTGCTTTCGGAGGAAGCTCAGGAAACGCCCCCTCCTGGAAGCTCTCCTTGCACTTGCTCCCCCTCCGCTGTGCTCCCAGAGTTCCCTGCCTTGGCTCCGGATGTACACCTACCGCTTTGCATTGTAATGGCCGCCTTCTGAACTAGACCCAGGTACCTACATGCTGGGGGACTGCACTTGCTCGTCTTTGTATCCCAGAGCCTTGCACTTGGTAGAGACTCAGAGATGTTTGCTGAATGAGAGCACATAGCATGTGTGATCGAAGACCGTGAAAAAGGATGTTGATGATTTCTAGGTAGCAGGAGAAACAAATACAACTCAGAGCACAGGACCCAGGTATATGAAAGGGGAGGCATTCGCTTTTTTTCTTGCAGAGCCTCTTCCCTGCGTGGAAGAACTGTTGTCTTTGTGAGAACCATGGGAGCCTTGCTGATTTGGTAGGAGGAGTGGCAGGAGCTGAGTACTGCAGGATTAACCTTTTGACAGGTGGATCTGCTCTTTGAAAAACTTTATTGAGTTATTTTGGACAAACAGGAAGCTACAAAGAGTAAAATAATGAACATCCATGTGTCTATCACTGAGCTTAAGAAATAAAAATTACTAACACAGCTGAGGCCTTTTAACCATTATCTGGATTTGGTAGTTATCATTCTCATATAATCTTTTATACTTTCACATCATATATGATATATATACATACATATATAGAGGGCATATATCCATTTTATATATGTATTTGTGTTTGTATTTTTGCAAACCATTGATTTATATAGTTATTCCTTTGCACCTTGCTTTTTTCCCGTGCTCTTTCATAGGATTCATCTACGATATCCATCTGGATTGATACATGTAGTGCTAGTTAATTTTATTGCTATATAGTAGTCCGATTTGTAGTGGGTATTTGGATTGCTTCCAGTGTTTTCTTTTTACACAATTCTGTGAGCACTCTTGTTATTTATCTTTGTACATACATATGGGATTCTCAAGGATAATTAATAGGAGTAGAATTTCTGGGTCATTGGGAAGGTGCATCTTCAACTTTATTAAATTTTGCAAAAATTATTCTCTGAAGTTTATTTACTCCATTCTTAACAAAAATAAATCTTTGTACCCCTTCGTTTGATGTCACTTATGTTAATGTTTCAGATGTAGTGAATCAAAGATTGCATTTCAGTTGAAATATAACCCACCCGTTTAAGCCTTCTCCGTGCATCTGGTTTGTAGAACCAGGAAGCTGGTTTAAAATGGAGATAGGTATGTGGGCTGTTCATATTTATGTGAACTCCTACAGAAAAGTAATTAGGTCATATTCAATAGGTTGTTCAGCATTTCCTTTTAAATTTTTTATTGAGTTTGAACCAAAGACCATTTTGGATTATTTTTAGGATCTAGATGGCTCACTGTGGAGCTGTTTGTTGTATGAATATTTGAGTGAGTGAACAAACGAATGGAAGTGTGGAACTGAACATAAGAACAATAAAATATAATGGAATAAAATTAAAGCCAAATTAGTCTCCCTGAGTCGAGGTGTTAAGGGGAAAAGCTCATCCCTGCGTTCATTGGCTGTAAACTTTGCTGGAGGCTACAATTTTATGTGACATCTGACTTCTGCCAACACCGCGTCTGTGGCAGGGTCCTGACACAACAGCTCTATTTCTTTATTATAAACTCAGAACCTGGGGAAGCCTAACTTTCCTCTTCAGTGTGGGTCTGAGCCACCACCCCTACTGGTAAGACCTCTGATCCTCTACCCTGGTCGGGCGGACATGACATACTGGGTTTCCTCCCTGCCAGCCATTGTTAAAAAGCCCGCTGCCTTGCAGCGAGTCTCTCTGGTGGTTCGCAAATACTGCCTGGGTTGGAGATGGGCTTTTATGCAACACTTCTTGCTGAAGCCGTGCTGCTGTGGAACTGTGGCTGTTTTCTTGGAGATAACACTTAATCCTGGCCCGGTGCCTTGTGAGGTAGGGGAAGGATTGTTGAGTTGTTTGTTTGCAAGCTCTTGGGAACTCCTGGGACATACGCAGTCATTGTTGAGTGTCACCTTAAAGGGCCATCCAGAACATTCTTGCGGTGGTGTGTTAGTTTGCTAGGGCTGCTGAAACGAAGTGCCACCAAGTTGTGTGGCTTAAACAACAGAA